GGTTCCCCCACCCAGGGCAACGTTTCGTGGCCCCATAGGGAGCTCCGCCGATGGCACCAGTGTGGGGGGTCGCATGCGGTTCCCCCACCCAGGGCAGCGTTTCGTGGCCCTATAGGGAGCTCCACCGAAGGCCCCAGTGTCTGCTCTCGCATGCGGTTCCCCCACCCAGGGCAGCGCTTCGCGGCCCCATAGGGAGCCCCGCCGATGGCCCCAGTGGGGGGAGGGGGGGGGGTTGCACGCGGTGCCCCCACCCAGGGCAGCGTTTCGTGGCCCCATCGGGAGCTCCGCCGACGGCCCCAGTGTGGGGGGTCGCATGCGGTTCCCCCACCCAGGGCAGCGTTTCGTGGCCTTATAGGGAGCTCCACCGAAGGCCCCAGTGGCTGCTCTCGCATGCGGTTCCCCCACCCAGGGCAGCGTTTCGTGGCCCCATAGGGAGCTCCGCCGATGGCCCCACTGGGGGTGTTCGCAGAAGGTTTCCCCACCCAGGGCAGCGCTCCGTGGCCCCATAGGGAGCTCCGCCGATGGCCCCAGTGGGGGGAGGGTCGCATGCGGTTCCCCCACCCAGGTCAGCGTTTCGTAGCCCCATAGGGAGCTCCACCGCGGGCCCCAGTGGCGCAGTTCGCATGCGGTTCTCCCACCCAGGGCAGCGTTTCGTGGCCTCATAGGGAGCTCCACCGCGGGCCCCAGTGGCGCAGTTCGCATGCGGTTCCCCCACCCAGGGCAGCGTTTCGTGGCCCTATAGGGAGCTCCACCGAAGGCCCCAATGGCTGCTCTCGCATGCGGTGCCCCCACCCAGGGCAGCGTTTCGTGGCCCCATAGGGAGCTCCGCCGATGACCCCACTGGGGGTGTTCGCAAAAGGTTCCCCCACCCCCCACCCAGGTCAGCGCTTCGTGGCCCCATAGGGAGCTCCGCCGATGGCCCCAGTGTGGGGGGTTCGCATGCGGTTCCCCCACCCAGGGCAGCGTTTCGTGGCCCTATAGGGAGCTCCACCGAAGGCCCCAATGGCTGCTCTCGCATGCGGTGCCCCCACCCAGGGCAGCGTTTCGTGGCCCCATAGGGAGCTCCGCGGATGGCCCCACTGGGGGTGTTCGCAGAAGGTTTCCCCACCCAGGGCAGCGCTCCGTGGCCCCATAGGGAGCTCCGCCGATGGCCCCAGTGGGGGGAGGGTCGCATGCGGTTCCCCCACCCAGGTCAGCGTTTCGTAGCCCCATAGGGAGCTCCACCGCGGGCCCCAGTGGCGCAGTTCGCATGCGGTTCTCCCACCCAGGGCAGCGTTTCGTGGCCTCATAGGGAGCTCCACCGCGGGCCCCAGTGGCGCAGTTCGCATGCGGTTCCCCCACCCAGGGCAGCGTTTCGTGGCCCTATAGGGAGCTCCACCGAAGGCCCCAATGGCTGCTCTCGCATGCGGTGCCCCCACCCAGGGCAGCGTTTCGTGGCCCCATAGGGAGCTCCGCCGATGACCCCACTGGGGGTGTTCGCAAAAGGTTCCCCCACCCCCCACCCAGGTCAGCGCTTCGTGGCCCCATAGGGAGCTCCGCCGATGGCCCCAGTGTGGGGGGTTCGCATGCGGTTCCCCCACCCAGGGCAGCGTTTCGTGGCCCTATAGGGAGCTCCACCGAAGGCCCCAGTGGCTGCTCTCGCATGCGGTGCCCCCACCCAGGGCAGCGCTTCGTGGCCCCATAGGGAGCTCCGCCGATGACCCCACTGGGGGTGTTCGCAAAAGGTTCCCCACCCCCCACCCCCCACCCAGGTCAGCGCTTCGTGGCCCCATAGGGAGCTCCGCCGATGGCCCCAGTGTGGGGGGGTCGCATGCGGTTCCCCCACCCAGGGCAGCGTTTCGTGGCCCTATAGGGAGCTCCACCGCGGGCCCCAGTGGCTGCTCTCGCATGCGGTGCCCCCACCCAGGGCAGCGCTTCGTGGCCCCATAGGGAGCTCCACAGAAGGCCCGCCCCAGTGGCGCAGTTTGCATGCGGTTCCCCCACCCAGGGCAGCGTTTCGTGGCCCCATCGGGAGCTCCACTGAAGGCCCCAGTGGTGCAGTTCGCATGCGGTTCCCCAGCACAGGGCAGCGTTTCGTGGCCCCACTGTGTCCCTCAATAGTTTTGGGGGTAGCTGTAGTCCGGGGGGGGTACCTATAGTCCGGGGTGGGGGTACTTGTAGTCCGGGGGGGGTACCTGTAGTCCGGGGGGGGTACTTGTAGTCCGGGGGGGGGTACTTGTAGTCTGATGGGGGGGTACCTGTGGTCCGGGGGGGGCGCGCATGGGGGTGTTTGAAGTCCGGGGGGGGGGCATATGGTCATGCCTCAAAGCACGCGTGGTTCCACGCACGCGGGTGTTTAGTACTTACGCGCGCGGGACCTCACGCGCATCGTTGCACACCACACGCCCGCGCGCACGCGCGCATGCACGCACAGACTCACACGCACGCGCGCACGCGCGCACGCGCGCACGCAACCGCACGGAACCGCTTTGGCTTCCAGAGACTACGTAGCGAACGCGGGGGGGCTTAGTAGGGGGGGCTGTAGTCCGGGGGGGGGGTACCTGTAGTCCGGGGGGGGGGTACCTGTAGTCCGGGGGGGGGGTACCTGTAGTCCGGGGGGGGGGGGTACCTGTAGTCCGGGGGGGGGGTACCTGTAGTCCGGGGGGGTATCTGTAGTCCGGGGGAGGGGTACTTGTAGTCCGGGGGGTACCTGTAGTCCGGGGCCCCAGAACTATTGAGGGACACAGAGTATAGGGAGCTCCACCGAAGGCCCCAGTGGCTGCTCTCGCATGCGGTTCCCCCACCCAGGGCAGCGTTTCGTGGCCCTATAGGGAGCTCCACCGCGGGCCCCAGTGGCGCAGTTCGCTTGCGGTTCCTCCACCCAGGGCAGCGTTTCGTGGCCCCATAGGGAGCTCCACCGAAGGCCCGCCCCAGTGGCGCAGTTCGCATGCGGTTCCCCCACCCAGGTCAGCGCTTCGTGGCCCCATAGGGAGCCCCACCGAAAGCGGCACCCACAACGCGTTACGAACAATTGCTCATAGTTGGTTCTTTCGCCAGGATATTTTTTACTATTTTGTATTTTTCGTCCGGATCCCCCTGTATGAGGACAGGCCCGACTTAACCCCAATCCCCCAATCGCCCATTCATCGCCGATAGGGGCCCGATGGCCCACCCCGCCGAGGAAGGTGTGGATGCGCCATTGGAGGCCTGTCGCAGCTTTATCGGCGATGTGTGATGCATGAGGAGGGGAAAAACACACAGACACAATTAATCGTCGATCCCCAGGAAAATATGGGAAAATATGGGAAGTGTGGGGGAAGACAAAAACCAAAAGAATGTGGGAAAATGTTGGGAATCCTGTTATTTGTGTATATTTATTTGTGTGATCCTGGGCCCCTTGAATGCAGGTTGAAGGGTTCACAGCCCCCCCCCGATGGCAGCTCGATGTTTCCCCTCCCGAGCCGCGTCGCCCCAAACATTGCCCTTCATGATCGGCCCTGGGCGCCCCCACCCTGCGCTGGCGGTGCTTCTCGCACCGCCAGGGGAGGGAGGTCCGTAGCTGGCTGAAGTCGGGCCTGTCCCTCTACAGGGGGAATGTTCAGAAATAGTAAGAGCAATACTCGGGGGACGATGTTTCAAGCACTTGTTGATCATGTTTGAGTGTTTTTTGGGGTATTTGTTTTATTTGTCCTCCGAAATCCCCATGTAGGGGGACATGCCAGACCGAACGCTGGCCCTGGAGGTCCGCGCGGACTTCTGAAAAGGCAACGTTCCTGTCGCTTTGGTGTCTTCGATCCTCTCCTCCTGCGCCCTCCTCCCCCCCCCCCTGCGCCCTCCACGGCTTGCAGGTGGGTGGCGCTGTCCTGGCGACGTGGGCGTACCCTCTGTCGGGGATGGTGGCGGTGTTGCCCGCTGCGCCCAACGGAGCCGTCCGATTCCAGGGCGACCTCGTGTGGGCGTTTCCTTCGGCGCAGCACCATCCCCGAGGAAATCGTGACGTGTTAGACGGAGGCGCCATGTCCGAGACGATGGTGAGGACGCTTCGAGCCAGAGTGAAAAGAGAGGTTGGGATGGGGCGGGGAGGAGGGAGGGAGGGAGGATGCAACTTAGAGATGGTGGGAGACGATAGGAGGGGTGGGTGAGGACGAAGGCGTGATGGAACTTGAGGGGGGAGTGGAAGGGGATATGATATGAGGGGAGAGGAGCAAGGCAGGCGGGGTCAGGTTGAATCCTGCTCTGGGAGGGTGTCCAGGCGCCTTTGGCCTGAGGGAGCAACTAGCCAGCGCCAATGCGAGCGCACGATTCCAATGTAAATCGAAAGGACGGCTGAGGTGGGAACGCCATATCTGAGATAATTGTGACAACAATGTGGGCCCCGGAGAGGGAGGCTGGGGAAGGCTGAGGAGGAGGGAGGGAGGGAGGGAGGGGAAAGGCGCAGGCAGGGCCACCTCCAGCGAGGGGCTCTACGAGGCATCCCCGGGCTGGGGACGGGATGTCTCCGGCCATAGGGGGGGAACAACACCACCTGGGTTCCACTCCCTCCCTCCTTCCGCCCTCTCTCCCGCCGACTCCAGCTCCGACTCCTGCCGCCAACACGTCTCCTGAGGTCTCCGGCCTCCCCGCGCTGCCCTCTGAGGGGTGGCCCCCGCCGGACCGACCTCGCGCGCTCGCCTCGCCTCGCCCGCTCTCCCGGGCTATGCTGCCATGCCTCCGACTCGATTCTGGGCTCTCCTGCTCTCCCGCCTCGGCTCAGGGCGGGCACTCCGGAGCGCGCCCGCGCGGCGAGTGCGGGGGGCACCCGCGCCGGGAGGACGCAGGGCGCCCGCAGGGAGCGGGGCGCCGGGCCCCTGGGCGGCGGGCGCGGGGCCATGGACACCTCCCCCGAGGTGCAGACGCCCTCCGACGTGCACACGGAGACCTCGTGGCCGCGGCACGTGCCCTCGCAGCACAGCGCCAGGGCGCTGTCGGGGAGCACCCGGGCGCCGACGGGCAGCACCAGGGCGCCGACGGACGGGCGGGCGATGACGGACAGGGCGCTGACGGACAGGGCGCTGACGGGGGCGTCGATGGGGCCGGCAGGGACGCCCTACTCGAGGACGTCCCTGATGAGCTCGAGTCGGAGGGCCATGACCCCCGCCGACGTGGCGGGGTGGATCGCACCGGCGTCCACACCGGCGCTGGATCTCTACGCCAACGACCCCCAGGCCGTCACGTTCTCCTCCTCCTCTGCCTTCCCCCCTCGGTTCTCCCCTTTCCTCCACACCCCTTCCCCTCCACTTTTCTTGCTGCTACCCCTCCAGGCCATAGGAAACATTCAGTATGACTCGTTGACGGAGATCTACCCGATGATCTGCCTCTGCGCCCCTGGGAGCAACATCCCACCCTGCTTCTTCGCCAGGGATGGGCACAACGGGTCCTTGCCTCGAAAGCGCAAAGTGTTGTGGGCGTGGCCCTTTTTCAGCTGGTTCGGCCTCAAGTTTGCCAAGCTTGGATGGATGAAAACGCTCTACACGGACAAGAAGGGTGCTTCGCTTGGCGTCATCGCATTCAGTTTGGTTGCCTCGGTCTTGGTGGATGCCTTCACTGACCCAGCGATGAGCAATTTCACCGACCAGTTCCGTTCCAAGTACGGCAGGCGGCGCCCGTTCGTCCTCTTCTCCGCCCTCTACACGCCGCTGGTGCTCATCTGCTCCTTTGCACCTCCTGGCTCGGGGGTCGTGGCATCAATCTGGTTCGCCATCTTCCACATCGCCTTCAAGCTTGCAGACACCGTGTTCGTGCTCGCCGCCGACGCCTGGGGTACTGAGGAGGGGAAATGCACACAGACACAATGTATCGTCGATTTCCCAGAAAATATGGGAAAGTACGGGATGAGGGGTGGAGACAAAAGCACATAACATATGTGAAAATATGGGGAATCCTGTTATTTGTGTCTATTTCTTTGTGTGCCCCAGGGCCCCTTCAGGTACAGAGTTGACCCCGAACTACGCCGAGAGGTCCAACCTGTGGGCGTGGAAGTACTTCTTTACTCCTGCGGGCATCCTCTTCGGCATGGTCGCACTAGGGAGGACGTACCCCGTAGACCTGTACATCCTGCCCATCATAGGCCTCAGCGCGCTCCACTTCCAGGGCTGCATCTCGCTTGCGTACTACGGCAAGGAACAAGACATGTCCAGGCTGCTCTCGCCTCCGAAGGCCACCAAGGGGGGCTTGTGGAGCGACCGCTTCACTGTGGGAGACGTCATCCCGTCCCTGATGTGCACCATGATGAACCCGCCTTTTCGGACACTTCTCTGGGCTGCCATGGCCAAGGGTTTCGGGGCAGACGTTCCCTTCGCTATTCTGCCATACGTGACTCGGTGGATCATCGGTGATAAGTGCCCGAGCGCCGGCGCCGACGATCTCTTTGTCTACTGCGTCATCCTGAACACAATTGCGTCGCTGGTTGTCATACCAGCGTGGCTATGGCTTGCTGGTAAAACCAGCAAGTACTTCGCGTACTGCTTCCACATGGGGTTTTTGGCCCTCAGTTCTGTTGCGTTCATCTTTGTGGACCTCGACACCGGAGATTGCACGATGAGTTATTTGGCAATGGTTCTCTCATTTGTTTGGGGGGTAGCTCTTTGCGGGCAGTTCATTCTGACAGGTCTGGTGAATGATATAATCGATTATGACGAGTTTTTGTGCGGGGGCTACCGGCGAGAAGCATGTTATGTCATGTCCGCCGAGTTTCTTCCCAAGTTTGCTGCCATTCCTGGTGAATTTATACCGCTCATGCTCATGGCGTACAACGGTTATAGGCGTCCCTTGCCGAAGGATCCTGGGCCGCCGTCGTGCAGTGGCGGCATTGGGCAGGACGAGTTCTGTGCTGCATTCTACAGGAACGTCGCTGCCCCAGATTCGTGCTCCGACGAGATGAGTTGCGCCGAATACTTGGCAGATGGGGCGAAGGCAGTCTGCCACGCGAGCGTCCAGCAGTGCGGGATTGTTCAGAACGAGGGCGTGCGATGGGTGCTGCGCGTTTCCTTCGCGCTGGTGCCCTTCTTCTTCCTGGCCCTGGCGTTCCTCGCCCTGCTCGGCTACCCCAAGGCCAGAGGGGGGGCACAGAGGCCTTACGCGCCATGGCCTCTGCCATGCAGCCTCTCCTCCCTGTGCGCTCGTCTCTCAGCCTCCTCGCCCTCCTTCGGGCGAGGCATGGTTCTAGATTCTAGGTAGACCCTGCCCAGCTTCTGACCTCAAACAAGGCGGCACGCTCGGAGACGCAGCACCAGCAGCTGGTCCAGTCGATCAGCAGACTGAAGCGCGGCGAGACCGTCGAGGACCCGTGGAACCCAGGAGTCTACGTCTCGCCAGCGAAGCCAGACGGCCCAAGAGCGGGCGCGCTGGCGTACTTCTGGCCCTCCGAGCTGCGCGCTGCGCTGGCTGCATCGCCCTGTTCGCGTGACGACGATGGGCACGCCAGCGTCAAGAACTTGCTGAACCGGCCGCTCCGATTGGCGCTGCTCGCGGCGGCTCTCATCCCCATCGGCGTCACGATAATTGCATGGGGATGTCCAGGGTCCAAGCGGTAAGTCGGGCACGTCCCTCTACAGGAGGAATATTCAAAAATAGTTGTTAGAACATCGGGGGACTATGTTTAAAGTATGTTTGAGAATGTGTTGTGTATTGTTGGGGTATTTTTACTTAACAGCGTAGACTGATAGGTTTCTAGTTGACTCAAAAGAGCTCACAGATCACTCCACAGGGGGGTCCGGGCTGGCGTTGGGAGTTGCCGGCCGGGCCTGTGCCGGGCTCGTTTTTCACCAACAGTCACACACTTCGTGCTCGTCGACCTCTCAGAACCCCATTCCCAGGCCACATTCTGAATAACCGGATGCAACAGTCACACACTTCGTGCTCTTCGACTTCCCAGAACTCCATTCCCGGGCCACATTTTGAATGCCCGGAGCCAACTGTAGGCCACTTCGTGCTCTTCGAGTTCCCAGAACTCCATTCCCGGGCCACATTTTGAATGCCCGGAGCCAACTGTAGGCCACTTCGTGGTCTTCGAGTCCCCAGAACTCCATTCCCGGGCCACATTTTGAATGCCCGGAGCCAACTGTAGGCCACTTCGTGGTCTTCGAGTTCCCAGAACTCCATTCCTGGGCATGATTTTGAATGCCCGGAGCCAACTGTAGGCCGACTTCGTGTTCTGTAGGCCACTTCGTGTTCTTCGAGTTCCCAGAATTCCATTCCCGGCCACATTTTGAATGCTGAGGCAGGCTGAGGCTGAGGCTGAGGCAGGCTGAGGCAGGCTGAGGCTGAGGCCGAGGCCGATGCAGGCTGAGGCTGAGGCAGTCTGAGGCTGAGCCGAGGCTGAAGGCAGACTGAGGCTGAGGCTGAAGCAGGCTGAGGCTGAGGCTGAGGCAGGCTGAGGCTGAGGCAGGCTGAGGCTGAGGCTGAGGCAGGCTGAGGCTGAGGCTGTGTCTGTGACTGCCGTTGCCACTGCGACTGTCATCGCGAATGCGACTACGACTGCGAGAACAGCACAATTCTACAACTGGATTCTCATCTGAATCTTAAGGGGAATGCTTCCAGATATGCTCCTACACATCGCTGTTAGGTTGCTTTGCCGGGATAATTTAATTTTCGTCCAAAATCCGACGGTAGGGGGACACGCCCGACCTAATCCAAGCGCATACTCCTCCCCGTTCTTGCTGTTCTCTGTCTTTTGGAGGTGACTCCCCACTACACCTGAGCTGCTTTCGGCGAATCCCGCCACCGCGCCTGCGCAGCACCCACTGTGGCGGCGCTTCGAGCACTGGGCAGAAGGTCGTGACACTGTGACGCCAATTGTATATTTTCTTTGATGGGGTCTCGTGCGTGCTACTGGGGCGGTCGTGGGGCCGTATTGGGGTCCTGTGGGGTCATCCTGGAGTTCTCTTCGGGCCCTCTCGGAGCCCTCGACGAGGGCCCCAAGAGAGCCTGAAGAGGATTCCAAGAAGGGTCGGGGGTCGTGCTGGGCCTCTGCTGGGCCGTCCTATTGTCGTCCTGGGCCTCTCTCGGCCGTCTCAGTATGTCTCGGGAATCCGTTGGGGCTGCGATACAAGCTCATTGCGGCCCTCTTGGGCCATCTTGGATCTTCGTACAGAAGACCGTCAGAGTCACAGCAATCTTTGAAGCGGCACCGCATCAGATGGCCTCGCAGGACCATCGGGACAAGCATCGGGGCAGCTTTCACCCCGCGGAGGGGTCAGGGGCGACTCATTTTTGCTGACTTGGCCCCAGCCAGGGGAGGAACTCGTGCAGCGCCGCCTTGCCTCGGCCAAACGCACGACACGAAACCAACACCGGTTTCCCTGTTGGCTGACCTCACGTTTTGCCTCGCATTCATCCCTCAATTCCGATACACGTTTGCCCCGCAGTGCGCATGTTCTTTGGTATCATGACCTTGCAGAGAGCATTTGTAGAGTATTACGACCTCGCAGCGCGCATTTGTCTGTAGTGTGGCGGCAGCGCAAGGCGTGTTGGTTCGACATGTTGTTATCGCATGTTTTGTTACATGGGTGAGCAGTACCATCGAGACAACCATCGGCACAACCATCGGGAGCACCGTCGGGAGATCCATCGGGACAACCATCGGAACAAGCAACGCCACATCCGTCGGAGCAATCATCTGGACAACTTCCTGGATAACTATTGAGACAACCACTGGGACAACCATCGGAACAATTTTCAACCCACGATCAGGCCCAGGGCGATTCTTGTTTGCTGATCCCGCCCTATCCAGGGGAGGATCTTGCTCAGCCTCGCCTCTCCTCGCCAGCACGCGCGTCACGCACGACACGGCTCCAACCTGGGAATGGACTTTTCGGTTGGGGCATTTCATGTTTGTCCGTAAGGGCTTCGTCCCCTGCCGCCAGCCCCCTCTCTACCAGAATGGGATATATCAGAGTCGCAACAGTGCGTCTCGGCGCTGCCTTGGCACATCTGGGAACATAATGCGGGGGCGGATAGGAATCATCAGCGCATATTGGGACGTTGGCGTCATCGAAGACGCCTACGGCGAATCACCGCCGCCCCCTGCATTTTTGGAAGCGCCTGCGTGGCCGAAAGTTGTGCCAGAGCCTGGCCAAGCTATCGGGCCGCGCGGTCCCCGAGTGGGTTTCGAAAGCTTTCGGGGAACACTGAGTCGGGCGAGCTATCGGACCAGGTGGTTCCCAGCTTTGGGCCTTCCTGGAGGACGTCTTGGAGGGCTCTTGGGCCTTCTTGGAGGCCTCTTGCGGGCCTACAGGGCCGTCTTAGGCCATCTTGAGGCCATCTTGGGCCGTCTTGGGTCTTGACGGCCATCTCGGGCGTCTTGGAGGCCTCTTGGAGGCCATCTCTGCCGTCTTGGATGCTATCTTGGGTGTTTTGGGGGCCTCTTGGGCCGTCTTGGGGCCTTCTGTGGGCCCTCTCGGGGGCCTCTTGGGCTGTCATGGGGCCATCATGGAGGCCTCTTGAGCGCTCTTGGGTCGATATTTGGGGCCGTTTGGGCCGCCGTGGGCCGTCGGAGAGTTGAAAAGGAGCGGAAGCCAAAATCTTTCAAAAACTGTAGGAACATACATGCTTTTAACCTTGTCGGGCCTTCCTGGAGGACGTCTTGGAGGGCTCTTGGGCCGTCTTGGAGGCCTCTTGCGGGCCTTTGGGGCAGTTTTATGCAATTTTGAGGCCATCTTAGGCCGTCTTGAGTGCATCTTGGGGCCATCTTGGCAGTCTTGGAGGCCATCTTGGCCTTCTTGGAGGCATCTTGGAGGCACTCTTGGCAGTCTTGCAGGCCATCTGGGGCTTCTTGGTAGCCTCTTGGGCCGTCTTGGGGCCTTCTTGGGGCCGTCTTGGGGGCCTCTTGGGACGTCCTGGGGCCGTCTTGGAGGCTTCTTGGGCACTCTTGGGGCGATCTTGATGGCCTCTTGGGCAGTTTTGGGCCGTCGGACGGCCGAAAAGGAGCAAAAGCCAAAATATGTCAAAAACCTACGGGAAATCAATGATTTTGACCTCTTCGGGCCGTCCTTGAGGACCCTGGAGGACCTCTTCGAAGCCTTGGGCCGTCTTGGAGGCCTCTTGGAGGCCTCTGGGGCCGTCTCGGGCCGTCTTAGGTGTTTCTCGTGCGAACTTGGAGGCATCCTGGACTCTCTTGGGCCGTCGTCGAGGCCATCTTGGACCATCTTGGGCGAACTTGGAGGCCATCTTGGCCATCTTGGAGCCGTCTGGAGCTGAAAAACCCTTCGTAACAACCTGTTGTGCACTTTTGCGCGCCCTTCCGGGTGGTCGGCGGGACGGGCCGAAGCCCCAGGGGGAGTTTTTTGTGAGAAGAACCAAAACCAAAGTCGAGAGGATCTAGCATGCCGGGCACCCCTGTGGCAAGCCAACATGGGGCGGCGGATCGAAGACGCCTACGGCGACTCACCGCCGCCACCTGCCCCTTTGGAAACGCCTCTGTGGCCGACAGCTGGGCCAGAACTTGGCCAAGCTATCGGGCCAGTTGTCCCCCGAGTCGGTTTGGAAAGCCTTCTGGGAACGCATAGGGGAGCAAGAAGAGGAGGAGGAGGAGGAGGAGGGGGAGGATGAGGGAACAAAAAAAAGGAGGCGGAGGAGGAGGAGGCCTCTTGGGCGCCTCTTGGGGCACTCTTGGGGCCTCCTGGAAGCTTCCTGGGAGCCTCTTGGAGGGTTTTGGGAGGCCTTTGGGGGCTTCTTGGGGGCCTCTTTTGCCGTCTTAGGGTGTTACTGGCTTGTCTGACGCCGTCGGAAGCCGTCCTGGGGGCTTGTCTGGGTCGTCTTGGGGTCTTCTTGGGGCATATCAGGGGTTCTTAGAGGCCATCTTGGGCGTTTGGGGACTCTCTTGGGGCCGTCTTGGGAGCCTTGCGGGCCGTCATGGGGCCTCTTGGGCGATCTTGGGGGCCTCTTGCGCCGTCTTGAGCCGTCGGAATGCCGAGAAGAAGCAAATGCCAAAATCCGCCGAAAACCTAAGGAAAATCAATGATTTTGGCATCTTCGTGCCCTCCTGGAAGACCTCCTGGACGCCTTTCGGGCCGTCTTGGAGGCCTCTTGGGGGCCTCTTGGTCCGTCTTGGGTCATCTTGAGGCCATCTTAGGCCGTCTTGGGTGCATCTGGGGCCGTCTTGGAGGCATCTTGGGGCCATCTTAGCCGTCTTGGAGACCATTTTGGCCGTCTTGGAAGCCTCTTGGGCCCTCTTGGGGGCGTCTTGGGGGCCTTGCGGGCCGTCATGGGGCCATGGACGATCTTGGGGGCCTCTTGAGCCGTCTTGAGCCGTCGGAGTGCCGAAAAGAAGCAAATGCCAAAATCTGTCAAAAACCTTAGGAAAATCAATGATTTTGGCCTCTTTGGGCCCTCCTCGAGGAGCTCTTTGAGCGTCTGGGAGGCCTCTTGGGGCCTCTTGGGCCGTCTTAGGCCATCTTGAGGCGATCGTAGGCCGTCTTGGGTGCATCCTGGGCCGTCTTGGAGGCATATCGGGCCATCTTAGCCGTCTTGGAAGCCATCTTGGGCCATCTTGGGGCCGTCTAGAGCAGGAAAACCGTTTGTAACCGGGTCTTCCGGGTGGCCGGCGGGACGGGCCGGAGCCCCAGGGGGAGTTCGTTTGGAAACGCAAAACCAAAACCGACATCATTTAGCACGCCAGGCACCCCTGTGATGAATCAACAGGGGGCGGCGGATCGAAGACGCCTACGGCGAATCACCGCCCCCTTGCCTTTTTGGAAGCGCCTATGTGGCCGAACGTTGAGGCCAGACTTGCCAAGCTATCGGACCATGTGTTCCCCGAATCGGTTTGGAAAGCCTTCGGGGAACACGTGGGCATCTTGAAGGTCATCTTGGCCGTCGGGAGGCCAATTTAACCCTTTCGGGCCGTCTTGGGGGACGTGTTGGAGGGCTCTTGGGCCGTCTTGGAGGCCATCTTGAGCGTCTTGGAGGCCTCTTGGGCCGTCTTGGGGGCCTTTTGGGGCCGTCTTGGGCCTCTTGGGCGATCTTTGGGGGCACTTGGGCCGTCACGGGCCGTCGGAATGCCGAAAAGAAGCAAATTCAACAATCCTTCAAAAACTAATGGGAAATCAATGAATTTCGTCTTTTCGGGCCTTCCTGCAGGCCCTCTTGGAGGCCTCTTGGGCCGTCTTGGGGCCTTCTTAGGGCTTCGGCCGTCTTGGTGGGCTCCTGGCCCCTCTGACACCGTCGGAAGCCGTTTGGGGGGCCTCTCTGGGCCGACTTAGAGCCCTCTTGGAATGCCCCAGGACCGTCTTGGAGGCCATCTTGGGCGTCTCAAAGGCCTCCTGGGCAGTCTTGGGGGTGGCCGTCTTGGGGGCCTCTTGGGCCGTTCTGGGGCCATCGTGGAGGCCTCTTGGGCGATCTTTGGACGATCTTTGGAAGCTCTTGGGCCGTCTCGGGCCGTCGGAAGGCCGAAAAGAAGCAAATGTCAAAATCCTTCAAACACCTCTGGGAAATCACTGTTTTTGGCCTTCCTGGAGGCCCTCTTGGAGGCCTCTTGGGCCGTCTTGGGCCAGCTTCGAGCCAACTTCGACCATCTTGGTGTGTTCCTGGCCCGTCTGACGCCGTCGGGAGCCGTCTTGGGGGCCTCTCTGAACCGACTTGGGGTCCTCTTGGGGCGCTTCAGGGCCGTCTTGGAGGCCATCTTGGGCGTACCGTCTTGGAGGCCTCTTGGGCCGTCATGGGGCCCTCTTGGAGGCTTCGTGGGCGATCCTGGGGCGATCTTGGCGGCCTCTTGCGCCGTCTTGAGCCGTCGGAATACCGAGAAGAGGCAAATGCCAACATCTGTCAAAAACCTTAGGAAAATACATGAATTTGGCATCTTCGTGCCCTCCTGGAGGAGCTCTTGGAGCGTCTGGGAGGCCTCTTGGGGGCCTCTTGGGCCGTCTTAGGCCATCTTGAGGCTATCTTAGGCCGTCTTGGGTGCATCTTGGGTCGTCTTGGAGGCATATTGGGGCCATCTTAGCCGTCTTGGAAGCCATCTTGGGGCCGTCTGGAGCAGGAAAACCGTTTGCAACCGGGTCTTCCAGGTGGCCGGCAGGACGGGCCGAAGCCCCAGGGGGGGTTCTTTTTGGAAAAAGAACCAAAACCAAAACCGAAATAATTTAGCACGCCAGGCACCCCTGCGATGAATCGACAGGGGGCGGCGGATCGAAGACGCCTACGGTGAATCACCGCCGCCCCTTGCCTTCCCTTCGGCCCATCCCGCCACCGTGCCTGGGCTGTGGGTCTGAGGCCTCTTGTAAAAATGTAAGGGGGTCGTGGGGAGCCTCCCGGGAGCCTCTTGAAGGCGGTTTAGGGGCCTCTTGGGGGCCTCTTGGGGCCTCGTGGGGTATCTTTTTGGCATCTTGGAGGCCTCTTGGGCGCCTCTTGGGGCCTCTTGGGGCCTGGGCGGCCGCTTGGGGCCTCCCTGGGGGCTTCTCGGAGCGCTTCTCGGAGCGCTTCTCGGGCCATCTTGGAGCCTTCTTGGGCTGTCTTGGGGCCCTCTTGGAGGCGTTCTGGGCTACCTAATTTCGAGCGGAGTTAAAACAGGGATTGTATAGCGAACGCTATATCCTACCGACCCTGCCTTGGCCCAAGACAGTGCTGCCCTAGTTGCCTGTCTCGCGCCCGCGAGACACTATCGAACCTGCTCGTCGGATAAAGGCCACATCCACCGATGGTTCACATATCTATCCCATGTCTTGTCTCTTGTTTCTCATGTTGCTTGCCATCAAGGGCTTGGCTGTGGGATACCTCAATGCGCCTCCGACTTTATGCTAAGAGGAAGGGTTTCATATTGTTACCTCATGGACAAGCCCCTGACCCTTGCCTTTCTCTTGGTAGCGGAGCTGGCCTCAGCTTTATCAGTTAACCACGGCATAGTGGAGTACCCGACTTCGCCGGCGATCAGCCACTTCACTTCCAATACTCTTCAACCAATTGGTAATTTACATTCCTACACCTCCATCACCCCACCGCGTGGAAACACGTCACGCACAGACAAAGTATCTACACCGATCCGCAAATTGACAGCCACGTCAGACCAGACACCCAGTCGCAACCCCACAGGCGCGACAAACGCCAATGATACAAAAGCCGACATCATCAGCCACAGTTTGACCATGCATTGTGTCAAGGTTGTAATGTTTGAAATCGTATGGGCGCAGGGTGCAGCAGCCCTCATCCTCGCAGCCTGGCAGCCCCACAAGGGGGCTGGCGGATTTTTGGTTTCACCCCTCAATGTCGATGACATTGAGAGTTGGGATTCTTTGTTTTCCGCTATGTACAGGAACACCTGCGTCTCGCAGCTTGATGTCCCGCAAGGGGCTGGTGGATTCAGGCATGTCCCAAAGCATCCCCACATGTTTTTTTTACGTCAGCTTCATTTCGGCCGAGGAGCGATCCCATAGCTACCCCATGGATAGACATAGCGTCCTCCAACTTGGCTCATTGATTTGATCGTGTTATCGTGTAGAGATGGGACACCGGGGCATTGCAACCTAAGGCCGCAATTCTAGAAAATTGCAGCAATTTGTGAGTTTGGAACATCGGTTTTGGAAGATCGGCCGCGGGCGCGGGTCAGCGGCTCCCAAGGCCAGGCAGGCTTAGGATCAACATAAATCGCACCAGAGCGTTACTCAACGCTCTCAGAGGTCCCCGATTTATCCCGGTCCGAGTTTGTCCCGATCCTGGTTTCGTCAAGGATGGGTGGACATGTTCGATGACCTGGGCGCGTCGGTGTCTCCCATCGGCCTCGTGCTGCTGGGGTGCGGCCTCCTGGGGGTGTGGTTCCACGGCGTGCGCGCCAGTGCGGCGCTGGCGCTGCGCAAATGCCAGGCGAGCCGGGAGCAAAACGTTGGAGCAAGGGACGCTTGCGAGGGTGCCCTCACGGCCGCTGCCCTGTGCGTCGGAAGGTGATCCGAACCAGCCGGATCTCAGCAGGGCGTTTCGATCTTCGCAGCTCCTTGTCGGGGTCTGCCGCCTCTCGCCCAGGTCGTGGTCAGAGGCGGCCGAGCCCGCGACCCCGCCGTCATGGCACAAACGTGACGGGGGGGTTCCCGTCCTTTCGGCCCCATCCCCACGTACGGCGTTCCAGAAAGGGCCTTGCCGTCGTTGCATCTCGCCTTCGGCGGAAGCAGGGTTTCCTGAATCGGCCAGGTTTTCCTTGCGTCTGGAGGCCCCGGGAGATCCCCTCCTCTGCCCCCCTCCTCGCCCTTTCGTCCTCCTTTCCTCCTTGCCGCTGTTGTCCCCTCTGCCTCCTCCTTCTCCTCCTCCTGCTCGCCCATGCTGCTCTGCCTGCTCCTCTCTCCGTAGCCATGTTGGCTCAAGATGTTCGGTTCCATGGGGACAGAGTGGATACCTCTGGTCCGAGACCATACTCAGGACTCTTCCAACCTTTCGACCCTCACGGCGAGGTGCCCAGCAGCCTTGATTGTTCTGCGTACCCGACCCTTGTGTCCGCAGGCGGCATGGCGAACAGCGTCAAGCGTCGCTGGGTTTCTTGTAGTACTCGCGGGCCTCGTTACGCGGTTCACATCGACACCAACATCAGGAATTGTAGATGGTGCTTCGTCCCTGTCTGTCTTCCACGAGGTTGCCCTAGCAACGGCAAGGGCCGCGACAACACTAAGAGGGGCAACGACGATGGGAGCAGGACTATTTCTAAACACGGTGGAGTGGAACAACGGGACCTTTGCCAGGATCGCTATGGCGATAGTACAGGTGCGCAATTGGACGGCTCGCGGAACCAGACGGACACCGACGGCGACGACGGTTTGCCCGACCTTGGAGATGAGGACGGCGAAAACATCGAACCGCAAATCGCGTCTAACGTGAAGTTGTCGGCCGCCGCCATCATGATTGAGGATCTGGCATTCCATGCAACAGTGAGGCCATCCCGAAGGCGAAAGACATGTTGTCCCACCCGAACGAGCAGGCCGCGGCGCACCTGCCAATTCACAGTCAAGTCAGACAGCAATCGTGCGTGTGCAGCTTGCCTCAGACAAGCTGCCCAAGTTGCAAACGCAGGTAGGGCAGAACGATACTTCCAAAGAGCGAATATGGGAGCTGCTGATTCACCGCGGGACGTATTAGTGAGGCAAGCACAGTCTCTACACCATAAGAAGGAACAGTTCACCAAAACCTGGGCTACATCAGCATGTTAGCATATCGGTGGCCTGCGGCAGCTACGAGTGGTAGCCGAACGGTTGGCAAACGAACGTCCGGAAGAAGAAGCAGGCAATGTAAGTACTATTTCCGCAGCAGCCTGCTAAGAAAGGAATTCGAGAATGCTTCCGACGCAGCGCCTACCTAGGCCAGCGCGCCAGAGACAGTCTACGAACGCCAGCTTGCAGAGCTTGAGAAGCTAATTCCGCCAGACCACATGGCGGAGTAGACCGTGAGGAAGCCATAATTCGGGTTTGCGCCGCAACCTCCTCCAGCCGAGCCGACGAGATCACTTGCCGCCAAACCCGTTAAGCAAGGAGCTGTTGCATCGCCTCACTTTCGCGGGCGACGGGAAGCAGAGCCAGGGGCATGGGCAGGCAAAGAGGTGCATCAGGACCAAGCGAAGCAGCAGCTCGCTTAGGTTCCCGCTTTCATCGTGGCCGCCAGGAAAATCAGGTTCCAAGATAACATGTGTTTTCCGCGTTTGTGGGATTGCATTGCCTGCAGTCACCCCCTGGTGCTACCAGCGAACCAGGAGGTAGCATGGCACGGCATGCCCGAGCCACCCGAGATTCCACGAGTCTGAATATTCAATCGGCGTTTGTGATTTCGGCCATGATCATCTTGAGCGGAAAAGTCAGGTTGGGAGGACAGACGTACCGGTGGATTTGTTCACTTGGTCTTGTCGGGGAACCATCAGGGATTCGCTGGGGGAGCAATGATGCGGATGGTGTTCCGACTGTTGAAATCCAGCTTTTTGAAGATCCCATCGCCGCGGCCTTTGTTTGGGCGTTAAAGAAAGCCTCGAAATCCTTCTGGCACCCCAGCATCAGGGCCCCCATCAGCACGTCACGCCGCAGTCCCAACGGCATTCGGGACAGTGGCGTCTCGCCTGAGGTTGCCATTTTTGTGAAACTTTCGATATCGAGCCACCTTGCTTCCTGCGAGGCGTCATCTTCCTTGGTATGGCGCTGTCTTGCGCGGTGGAGCTCTCTGGCGCCATCGGGCCCCCTCGCGCATCGGTGTCTTGGAATGACCCGGAAGGGGCCCTCGAGGAGACGCGCAATGAATTGCGGGCCCAGGCCGTCCAGCGCAAACCTGCATGCGATCGGGACCTTTCTGGGGTTATTTCAAGGATATGGGCGATGGCAGCGGTGGCCGACATCGCGGATCGCACTCGGTTCGTCTCGTTCAGCCAGGCCTTCGAGGATTGCCTTCCAGGCTGTGATGATCCCCCCAAATCAGAAAATTGTATTCACGGGATCTGCGGAGCCGTCGCCCAGGGACCAGCCCGATCGCGGCCCGCGCGCGGCGCGTTCTTCAGTTGGTCAGCGCGGTTGGATTTGATAAGCAGCTTTTTTCAGGTCGTGATCATCGGTTGCCTAGTACTCTCTCATCGGCGAGCTCCAGGGGTCTAAGCAGCAGCATGTGTCGCCCATGTCCGGGCCCTGCCAAACATTCAAAACGCTTCGGGAGAATGCCTGGCAGCCTGCGCGACCACTGGACAGTCGGGGGCAGGGGCGGGGGCAGGGCCGGGGCGACGTCGCGCAGGGGGTGGAACAAGAGCTGGCGGTTGTTGTTGTATTCGCGGGAGGGGGGTCATATTCTGTCACGCGAGCTTAGAAACTTGGCAGGACTGGAGCCTCGCGACATCGACTGCAGTGGCGGGCAGGGCGCGTGAGTTTTGCTAGAGGCAGGAAATTAAGTGGACAGTCTTGGTTCCCATTGTAGATGGGGCCCCTTCGAACAGCGCGCGGGCCCTGCTTCGAGAATCTCACGGCAGCTGCGACATGCGGCGGGGTGCAGAGACCAGCCCCGCAGCGCGCATGCAATTGTCTGCCCGAGCCACTGCCTCCCCCGTCGGCCCCGGCAGCGCAGGAACTCAGCAGATCGCAGTCGGCGAAATCGGCGGTCCGCACGGGGATGCCTTCCACGCCCGGCGCTTGTCCTGCGCGTCGGCGGCGGGGGCGGAGGCGCCCGTTTTTCGGCGCTGGAGCCCCCCCGCCCCCCCGCCGGCGGCAGCGGGCCATTGTGGCGCTCGCTCCTGAGGGCACAAACCGGCGCGGAACAATTGGGGGCATTCAGTGCGTTCTCTTGGGCACTGCGGGGGGTCGGGCTCTCTTTCGCGAGGGCCCGGGTGAAATCCCGCGACCGCCCTCGGTTCGGCCGCGGGCCTGGGCCCTAAGCGAGTCCGCGGCGGGCCTCTTCCGAGGCCCCGCCTCCCCGCGCGACAGGTTTAGCAAGGGCTGGCCCTGCGGCGACGCAGCGGGGATTTCGATTGCGACCCCCCGCGCCCGCGCAACTCGCCGGGCTCGTGGGGCCACCAGCTGGGCAGCGCAAGCTGATCGCAGTTCGCCGCGCACTCTGTAAGGCCATCGGGCGCGCCCTGTCCCACGGGCTCTCCGAATGTCAAGCTCCAGAGGCGGCTCGGCTGAGAAGCGAAATCGCCCGGGCATTTTGCTCGCCGGGATTTCAGTGGCAGGGGGGCCAGAGCCTGTCGCGCACGCGTGGATTTCTAGAACACCCCGAAAAGGGTCCAGATTCTGCTCCTCCCCCGGCCGCTGGATTATGCATGCGTCTAACGCATGTCGTTGTTGGGCTTGTCATGGGAGTTTCGCGCCGTGGCCGCGCGTGCCCGTTCTTGGGGCCCCGCAGGACCTGCTCCGGGACTGGGCCCAGGAGTCTCGATGGGCCGCGCAATCGACCTGCGGGATCTCGGCGTCAATGGGCCTACTCCTGGACATTCGGGGGCCTCGCCACCCCTGGCGCCTCGAGGCGGGGGCCATTTTTGATCGGCGGTGCTTGGGCGAATCCGCGCTGAGGGGTCGCGCGCCCACGTAGATTGCAAGGCAGTGGTCGGCGGGTTCCACGAGCTTCTAGCCGCAAGATTGTCTTTACAAGAGTATGTGCCCAGTTAGTCCCAGAACCGCCTGAAGCAGTGATAGCGGCCAGCTGTTGAGATCAGTTGCCACAGTGAAAATGCAATAGAATGAGGCAAGTGCCGATCAATCTGATCGATCCCAGTCTTGCTCAACCTGGCGCGTAACCTTTCAGCCAGAGCAGCCGCGTCGATGCAGCCGTCGTTCGGTCCGTCGTCGTGCGCTCGCTTGCTGCATCATGCATCAGAAGGACTTGGTTTTTGCTGTTCCCCGTTTGATTCGCAAGATGATTGCCCGCGGGCCTCGGCAGGGCCGCGATGGGGGGAACCTTCGGGGTGCTGATTCGAAGATTCAAAGGGCGCTCGTTGTGCGCGACTGGCAGCGTCCAGAGCAGATCGCGTGGATGCTTGCTGCGCGCGCGCGTTCCTGGCGTGCTGGCGAGGCGGCGGCTCTGCGCCGGAATGAGCCTTGCCGCCCTATGAGTGTCTGCTTTCGTGTAGGTGTTCGTTTTACCCGCCCGTCTCCTAAGATGCGCTCTGGTTTCCGCGGAGATGGGCAGCTGGCATCATGTGCCAGTTGCGGCTGGCACGCCCCAGTTGCCTTCATTCAAGTGCTTGCGGTCTCTGCCCGCGCCCGCCCAAGAGCGGCGCCGGGCACGCTGTGCGCCGTCGTCTTTCGAGCGAAGAGCAACCTGATTCGGGGGCCCTTTTCGACTTCGTCTCAGGTGTTCCAAGCCCGCAGGGCTCGCCAATCACAGTTAGCTTTGTCAGGTTCCCCGCTGCAGAGGCAGGTGGCAGTCGGTTCCGTCTCGCAATGCACGGCAGGCCATCTCGTAGACCTCGCAGTTATTCGACCCCTTTGTCTTGCGCGAGCTCAAACGCAGTTACTCCCGCGGTGCTCAGTTACCACGTTCGCCACTTCGCTCAGCTAAGGGACGATGCGCTCCTGGCCTTGGGGAAGATGTTTCAGCTCTGGGAAATGGTTTCCGCTTTCCCCACGCAGCTGGGGGCGGTTATCCTGGCCGTGCTTCCCAAAGTTTCTGGAGGTTCGAGGGCCGTTGGGCTATTCGTCGGGCCCCGCAGATTACGGGCCCTGCTTGACGACGTCTGGCCGACGAGCGGGAGGCTGCCTGGCAGTGGTCGTTTTTCGCACGCGGGCGTTTCAAGTCCTCGGCCGACGCGGTCTGGAGGCAAGCTCCAAGGTCAGAGCCCTCGGTTTCTCTGGAGGAGGTTCCAGCCGGCGTTCTCTGGGATGGGTTGAAGTTCTCTGAGCCATTTGACTTGGAATTGCTTCTAGACGGACGCAGGCGCGTTGGCTTCTCGCATCGGGCGGGCCGCTTGTGCGCGCTCGCCTACCGGAGTGCGAGATTGATAATGATGAATGGTAGTGTCAGTAGACCTCGGTTGGCAAGCAAGGGTGTCATCGCTGGTTGTTCGATCGCCACCGCTTTTGCTCGCGCATATCTTGTGTCGGATCTCGAAAGGCCTCGCGTCCCAAGGTCTATTGCACTAGGCGCGCACATCGACGATTGCGCCTTGCGCTGTACTGGCAGCGTCGCCGTGGTTGCGCGCTATCGGAGGCCCCCAGGGCTTCTTGCACGGCGCGCTCACTATTGATTGCAAGTGCTCATTCTGGATCGATCGCAAATTGGGGGCCGCGGCGGACCAGGCTTGCCTCGTCTCCTCGCCTCAGCGCGTCGCTCGTCTTGTTCGAGATTATTTTGGGGGGCCTCGCGGGCCCATTGCCGAGGGAGCGGCTAATCTCTGCGTCGATGATGCGCAGGGTCGCCCACGTCGCTCGTCGGGCAGGCGTGCAACTCATAAGAAGCGCATTTGTATTTGCAATAGGCGCGTTCGCAGGCTGGTCATGCTCAAGCCTGCGTTCGGCGCGAGATGCAAGCAGACGTGCGCGGTCGAGCCATTGCCTGGCTTGTTCCATGGCGCAGAGGTCCACGGCTGCAGCGACGCCGAGGGGCTCGAGAGTCGGAGGGGCGTCGGACGCACATTGCAGCCATCAGGGGGGAGGGGGGGAAGGTCATCTTGCGCCGAGGTAAAGAGGCGTGGATCGCCGCCAGCAAGGTCACCCAGCTCTCCTTGCCGTTCTCTGCCTTTCGAGCTGCTTGGACGGCTGTGCACCATCGGGATCACTAATGGCGCAGCTGTGGGGAACCAGTGGGGGGGCTACGGTGCTTGACGCGCAGGACCGGTTGGCCAATGAACGACCCTTTCACGTTCACCAGTTGTTTGCAGCAGGACATATCTTTCCTTGTCATGAGGTCCCTGGAGCGCTCGGCCAGCAACTCCCCCGGCTCCTCCGACAGGCCCTGTTTCGACGTCATGGTTTCGGCGACTCGGTCTACGAAGTTCGAGGGGGTCCAGAGGGGCCCCACCAAGGCGGCGCCGTGGGGCGACTTGGACTCGTGATAAGGCCTTAGGTTTAGGATACCATTGTTACCCGAAGCGCGTGCTCTGCGGGGAGCCCGACTCGTTGTTCCACAGGCTTCGGGTTTCTAGCGGCCGCTTAGACCTCAGGGAGTCTTTGGTGTAGCCCTGGTTCCTCGAAGTCTCTAAGGAGCCCAATGCAGGTCCTCTCCAAGGTGGGGAATGCTCGGCTTCGGGGGTTCGGTCTTCCTCACGGGTGGCCCGTGCCATTTTTACACGAACTGCCTCAATGTCCACAAGAAGTTTCATGCGGCAGGCTACCATCAGATGCTTAGCCATAAGTTAATCTACATCTGTATCATGATGCAGGTTCTGTCTCATGTCGGGTGCATTTTATCATTGACCAAGGTCCATGCGCACCAGGACTTGCAGGCTGTTTTGCCTCCGCACGAAGCTCTTCCTGCGATCGGGCAACCACGCCGCTGATTTGGCGGCGAAGAGAGGGGCCTTGCAGCACCCCGCAGCCTCGCCCGAGCTGCAGGAAGATGCCACGCGTGATGCGGATGTGGCCGAAGCTGTTGCCACCCTTTCTGCTCGTCTCCTCCCCCTTTGGCTTCGCCTTGATCTTGAGGGGGTAGAACGGATCGTCCCTCCGCGTCCTGTCCCTTCGGCCCGTGCGGGCCATGCCTGGGCGCGGGTCGGGGCCCTCTGGCAGTGCACCCAATGTCTCCGAGGGAGACGCTCTGAGGCGGAGCCGTCTCCTTGGATCGTGCTCGCACCACTCGCGTGTGAACGTGGCGCGGCTCGCCACCCTTGGCCATCCGTGCTGGGTGGATGGACTGCAGTGGTGATTGGTTTGTTTGTTTTTTTTGTTTGGTGTGCAAGAGCTACACCTCTGGGCAGCGCTTCGCCAACCCAGCGGAGCGTTGTCCTGGCCATGTTGTCAAGCAGGATGGCACCCCCAGGACACCCGCTCCTTGGGCTCGTTTTTTGATAAGGCCCGCATCCTCACAGGCCTCGGGTGACGATTTTGGCGAGCACGATGGCTGCAGTGTGCACGTGAGTTGCTGGTGTGGTGCGCTCTTTCACGCCACTCCTGCCTTGCGTACTGGTGTTGGCCGCGGCGCGTCCGTCGCCCGCTTTCCGCTCCAGGCTTTCGATTGTTTCGACTCTGGAGTGGGAGTTTTGGCCCCAGCTCCTGCCTCAACGCAGGCAGGTGGTTGGAGCAAATTGCGGTGTATGCTTTTTTCGTGTACAAAAAACAACATCCTGAACCCAGGATCGGCGCATGCGCCTCCCTGGCCAAGGAGGGCGCACGCACCCCAGGATCAGCCTGGCCTGGATCGGTCTATAAACACAGCCATCGTCGGCCGTGCGGCCTGTCCTTGCTTGCGCTCGCCTCGTCTTCTCTCTCACTCTCACTTCCCCTTCCCCGTTCTTCCAGGGGGTATGTGATTATTCGTTGGCCACGCAGCACGCCTTCTCTCCACAATTGGGTAGAAAAGAGACGCGAGTGCTGCACAGATCTCTCTCCTCGATGCCCCTCCGAGGTGCAACGGAGCGAGATATGCGACGCGTACAGGAAGGCGCAGCAGCTCGCAGGGGGCAAGGCGGCCCGCCGGCCACTGGCCGCGGCTGGGCTGGCTGGGGGCCTTGGGCCCCCCGCTTGTTCCTTCCTAATTCCGGGGGCGTCGAAAGATGGGTCTGAGAAGGATGAGGACCGTCGGGGGCCTCCAAACGGGGTCGTGACCACACCGTGTGGTGAGTCGGTGGGGATTCGGGGTCACCACACGGTTTTGGGACTCGAGTCCCTCTCAGAGGATGTCTCGGGCGACAGGGCCTCCAGGGTCCCAAGACCGTGCGGTGACGGACCGTGCGGTGAGGTCTCCTGGGGCTCCGAGGTCACCGCACGGCCTGTCACCACACCGCTTCGGGACTCCAAAGTCCGGGGGGGATAGTACACATACCCCGGCCACACGCCCGTCGTTCTTCCACGCAGATGCTTCGGGCCATGATGCGCGAACCCACCTCTGTCTAGCCTTCCCTGTCGGCGCACCCGGCTCTCCCTGCCCCCCCCCCCCTCACGCGGTATAGTCTTGCCCTCTTCGGGTTGCGTTGTCCCCCCTGGGGTGGGGTGTATTTGTGTTGGGGGAGGGGAGGGGGAGGAGCACCCGTATGGTTTTGAACCGGTTTCGGGCATTTGGAGGCCCCTAGAAATTTCCAGAGGTTCCCGCGGGGAGTTTCGGAGGCCTCTCTCCCTGCTTCCTAGGCGCACGCGCCCTTGCAGCGGTCCCCGCGCGGGGGCCCGCCTTGTCGCTCATCAGGCATTTGAGGGCCTGACGGGAGCGGCCTGAAAGGTTGGCCAGGCTGTGAGCCCTGGCGACAGGCGTCCTCGCGCCAGCTTTGCCCGAGCCGTTCTCCCTGCTTCGGTGGTGGTCTGGCGTTATAATTTCAGCTTGCTGCGCGCCCTCCCCGTATATACCCTACGACGGCTGCACCAGGTGATGCCATTGAGCATCTTGGAATGGGGATGGTGGGAGCGGTGAGTCTCTGGCTGCTGGGGCCTAAATGGGTGGTTTAACCACGTGGGCAGTCAGAATGTAATACTCCCTTGCTTATTGCAGCAAAGGCAGGCTATATCATATTTGGGGGCAACAGGGGCCGTGAGGAGGCTATATGAGGTCCTAGTGAGAGCATCCTGAAGGGCATCTGCACTCCTCAGGGTTCTCAGACTTCTACGCTCCTCCTTGGTGTCCTCCTCCTCCTCCTCCTGGGGCAAACCCTCCTTGTGCTCCCAGTAGTGGGTCTGAGCGGCGGCTAGACGGTCTCGGAGGAGGTCTGCTCGAGTATCAAGTCCTTGGACTTTGCGGACGAGGGGAGGCAGTACCCGTCTCCTGCGGGCTGCACATCTTGCGATCTCGCCATAGAGCCCACCGTGGTTCGCGGGTTGCTTCCCCCTCTGTCGGGTGGCTCTTGAGCTCCAGAATATTATATATATATATAGAGAGAGAGAGGGAGAGAGAGAGAGAGACAAATGAAGAAGGAGAGTGCGGGAACGTGGTGTTGCGACGATTCAGAAATTCTTTCATGTTTGAGGGTTCCGCGCATGTCTTCTCCTGGGGCTTGGTTGGGAGCCTTTGATCAGATCGAGTATCGGTCACGATGATCATGGGTCCCTCGGTGGCTTGGATAAGTGAGGTGGCTGCTGCAAGCACTGCAAGTGGAACGGATTGCTGTCCTCGGATTCTCTCTGAGAGCGAGCCTCGAAACTGCATGGACAGGGACCATCTGGCTGCTCCACAGCCGCATACTCGTAGACGAGCGTCCATGGTGTGCTCCCCTCTGATCCCGTCGGTGGCGACGAGGAGCATCTCTTGAAACACTCAGTGGTCGTGGTCCTGGAAAACGCTTGTCATATGGATGCCACTATCGAGCCTCAAGATATGATCGTGAACCTCATTAAGCGCCCTGGAGGCTGGAACGATTCCGCTGAGCCAGAGACACTCAACACTATCGATGTCCTGGGTAGCTTGAGGGATGATGCGTGCCTGGGTCTTGTGCACGGCCTCCAGGTTGAGGGACGGGAGCTCGGGATAGTTCCAGAATGTGTGAACGTCATTTGCAGCAGGCCCGCCGCAGATGTGACAGTCTCTTTCGTCGTCATGCCCTGCCTCGGAACGGCGAGCTTCGCTCCAGCACTTCGATCAGGCCAGAGCGTTGACATCAGCTGTGCATGAGGCATGACGTATCAGCTCCGTGTCCTTGGTGGGTAGTTGGTCTTTGTTGAGGTCATCGTCCTCCTCCAGTTTCCCACGAGCTTTACGTACGACGGCTGTTTGACAACCAGCATATGGACGAATCGACGTGGTATCACGTCGCACGTCCCTCCTGCAGCCCTGACGGTCTGCGGGCCTTCGGGCTGTTGAACTCCAGACTCGCATACTGAGAAGGAGCTGCATGTGGAAGGGATAAACTGCTGCTGGTCTCAACTGACGGGCTTGACCTGAAACACCCTGCCTGCGGGATCTGACCACTGCCAATCGGGGGTTGGTTCCCATCCTGCGTCGAAGAGCGTGGCGATAACAGCCGAGGAATGCGACTTGACTGCGAGTCACTCGCTGGGTGCACTGAACTTGTCTCGTAGATGGGTCCAGACTCTTTGAATCCCTCCTAGAAGTTTGAGTTCCTGCTTGACCAACTCAAACCACATCTGGAAGAGACTGATACGGAGGTACAGCGTGGGTTCCATGTTGCGAGTTCGGCCTTGAGGGTGTGGAGTCTTATGGTGAGGCACGCTCCTGACTTTGATACTCCGAAAGCTGAGGCGGTCTGGCGATGCAGAAAAGTACGAATGTCCGTAGGCGAGGCCTCGTGACCTTGCGCACACCACATCATCTGAGGTAGAGCTCCAGTTCTAAACAGAGCTCGTGCTTTGGCTGCAGTCCTGGCTAGCTTCCTGATGATCCTGGACCGAATGAGCCCCAGAGCGCGTCTTCCCCTCCTCCTCCTCCTCCTCCTCCTCCTCCTCCTCCTCCTCCTCCTCCTCCTCCTCCTCTCCGAGCTGTCATGATCCGACGGCGGCCTGTGGTGTCCATCTCGAGGTCCCTGGTGCGCCTGAAGGCTGGAAGTGGATCCCTTGGTCCTGAAGGCTGCTGGCGATCGATGTACTGAGGTGGATGTTGCTGGCCATGATTGCTAACGCGGGCGAGAAACGGCAGCCTAGATCATCCAGTCCATGGCGTAGCTGGATGATACATTCTGGGGAATCTTGCTTGAGCATGTCGAGGCTGCCGACGAAGCGTATTCTGAAGTCGTCGACCCAAGTCCTAAGGGTGGGCTTGGGAATCTGACCGTGATCCTTATCGAGGATCTCAGGAAAGGGCCCTGGTCCAAGGAACATTTTGCCCACAACCTTGGAGGATCGATTTACTTAGGATGAGGTGGGTGCTGACCTCGACTGGTGTAGTGAGGACCCTCGGGGCGGTGTGGACCAAGACCCCCAAGGAGAGCGGGCCCACGGGGTGCCCCAGTGTTGATCGATGTGACAATCGATCGCACTGTCGATCTCGCTCTCATTATCGATCTCAGTATCGACCTCACTATCTATCACTGCCGATTTCACGATCGATCTCACAATCGATCTGACCATCGATCCGAGTATCGGTATCACTATCAGTCTCACATCCGATCTCTCACCATCGGGCTCACCATCGACACATCACTATCTCGAGCTCACTGTGGATCTCACTATCGATCTCACGATCGCTCTCACTATCGACCTCACGCGACACCACGGGCCACCGCGGGAGACACCACCGGGACACCATCGGGGGACACCACGGGGACACCATCGGGGCACCACGGCGGGAGACCCCCCCCGAGCACCCGCCCGCCCGCCAGGGGGTGGGGGGGCGGGAGCGGACTTCTGCCCCAGCGGCGCCCTAGCCACAGGAGGTCCCTAAGGGCTCGTCGACTTTTTGCCAATCGACCTTGTGGGGATCGAGCCAGATAAGTCCGCGCAGGTTCAGATAAATCGAGATGAATCCAGGAACCTCGAGATAATCCGGGCAAGTTCAGGAAATCCAGGGATCTCCAGAGAAAATTGGAGCAGCTCGCGGCCGCTCCAGCGCGAGTCGAAGGACGGCAGAAGTCGTTGAAGGAGGGTTCACTCCTTTCGCCCGCTCACGCAGCTTCGCCTCGCCCGCGCGCACGGCACGAACACGACAGCGAAAAATCGATTCCCTTGTGGGGGGCTCTCCGTTTCACTGCGATCTCACCCCCTCGCTTCCGATCGCTGATCATACCAGTCAGGATCTCCAATCCTGACTCTAGTAGCCGTCGAGAATGTGCGGCCCTCCACTGGTCCGTTCCTGGTGCTGAGCTGAGGGCAAATGATTTGATTGCGATGGTGACCTTGCTGGTCCTGAGCCTGTTCCTGAGATTATGTATCTATTGAGCCTCGGGGGGCGCCTTCAAGTGGTTCCCCTCTGGGTCCCAGTACTGCATCCACAAGTCGCACTTATGTCCTATTGCTACAGAGTGCTACAGAGGGGTCCGAGATGATGGTGCCACTGTCATCTGTGAAGACGTCGTCGTCCTCTGGCGTCGGACCTGGGACCTTGGTGACGTGGTGAGCTCCACCTCCACCTCCACTGGGCGAGGGAGTCCCCGAGCCATGCCTGAAAGACAGCTTCTTGCTGCCCGAGTGCTTCTCTCTCGAACAAGTGCACTACCACACAGCTGCCTCATGCTTATACTACGGTGTGCCTGCCATCGGCCCAGATGCGAGCTCGTTTTCCTCTGTGCAAGCATCGCTTTATCGTCGCACTTGTATCCGACAGTTCTCACCGTTATCATTATACTATCGTTCTCTTGTCGGTTGTGCATCTCCCACAAACATTCCCAACATCCTTCCTGACGCTCTTCCCGACGTCTTTCTCGACCGACGACCCCCCACGACGACCCTACCACGACAACGACGCACCACGACGAACCCGGCAGCCGCCACCCACTCCAGCATTCCTTCCGCCTCCGCCGCCTTGTTGGGGTCGCCGCCGTAGCATCCGTAGCTCTTTTTTCGCGGGTGTCCCTCCTCTCCTGGCCCCTCTTCCCGCCCG